GTAACCCTATATCATATGATCTATTACAGGGCATGCAGAAAGAGAAATCTTCTTGATTAATAAAACCAAAACACAAAAGATATCGGACGACATCAAAACGCACTCTAGCATATTTAATAGACTGTTTGCAACACACAGCACACACACACATGTGCAGACTCCACACTACTAACTCTCTAATGTGTAATTCCTTAGGAAATTTCAATAAATTGGTTCATATATTTTTTGGAAATTTCTACACATCATGAGTTTTAACAGATGTCAGATTATTAAAAGCCAGAAAACTTAGGAGAAAGCACTTTTAAGGATTGTTTACACTCATTTCAAGGAGACATTTCTCCAAATAAGGCAAATACATGGCCAACAAATATGAATTATCAGAATCACTGATCATAAGTTCACAGCACAGTAAAACACCATTACACACATATAAAGGTGTCTACCATGGAAATCAGGAACAAGTATTAGCCAGGACAGGAAGAAAAGACTACCCTGTTCTCTGTTGGTGGGAATGTAAATTAGCATAGCCATTAGAAAGTGGTATAAAGGGGTTTTTTTTTTCAATCACTAAAAAAAGAAAACAAAAAATGACCTAGCAATTCCAAATTTTTGCCCCAAAGATTTTAAGTCAGTTTGTCAAAGATATATCTATACTCCCATGCTGAGTGCAACATTGCTTACAATTATAAAATTATGGGATCAACCAAACCACCCACCAATACACTAGCAGAAAAGAAAGTGTGGTATAAACAGTGCTACACTATCTAGTTAATAACAATATAGGTTCTGTCCTCTGTGAGAACATGGATGTAAATGGAAAATATTAAACTACACCAAATATGCCAGGCACAGAAAAACAGACTGTTGTGATGTGTATGTAATATCTAATCCAATCAAACACATAAGTAGATAGAGGATGGGGGATTGACTCAGACTGGAGAAAAAGGAAGAAGGCGATAACAGTAAAATGATACAAAAGCTCAGAAACGAAGAGTATTTTTAAGATCTACTGCACAGCATGGGAGAATAAGAGTGTACTGTATATTTCAAAACTGCTGGCTGTAAATTCTTAAAAGGAAATTTCAAGTTTACTCACCACCAAAGAGGTTAAATATTTAAGGAGTGCCCAAAGGAAACTTTAAAAGGTGCATGCGCCTCATCCAGAGATCCACTAGCATCATAGGAAGCTGGCCCAGTACCACAGGCTTAGTCTACCATTGTGGTCAGTTGTACCCAAGTCAGTGACCACTAAGGATCTCACGCATGCAGAGCTTGAGTTGGAGGCTCTAGAACAGTTGGAAGACACAGTTCTCAGAGCCACTGACCTTTCACTATCAGTAGAGCATTATTGTACTTGAGAAGTTGTGGACCTGTATATCAGGAGAATGAAAGATCAATGCTTTCCCAGAACAAGGCTGAACTGAGGCACTAATATATGTCTCCTCTGATATTTAGCCAAAGAGCTTCATCTTTTCCTGAAAATGCAGAGGCCCCCTTGATTCTGGAGCATCATGGCTATGTGTAATAGAAGAGACACCCAGAGTCTCCAAGTAGTGGTTGACCAACGGTATTGGCAACAGCTGGGGTGAAGAAAGAGCTCAGTGTCCAACAATGGGGAATTCAGCTGCACGTTTCAGGTGCACTCATTTCAGTTTACATCTGCAACCAGGAGGAACATGCCCTCTTCTGGGAGGGATTTCCACAGCAGCACATCGTGAGGACAGGGACAGCAAGCCAGAAGTCTGGGGAGTTTGGCTGGTGACTGTCTCCTCCATTCCCACACACAGTACAGACATCACTGATGTAGAGGGTCAGTTCCAGCTTTCTGATGTTTCCATGTGAAAGCAAAAGGTATTGAGGAGAAAACTGACTTTGGATTTTGAATTTTGCTCTTTTCCCAGGAGCCTTGTTACGGTGCTAGCTATCAGCAGAATCCACAGCTCCTAGTTAACCTCAAGCCAAGGAACATTTGATCTTATTTACCAAAAGATGCAGTGTATAATCCAGGCTTGAGATATTGGTATAGCTCTGGCTTGCTATGTTCCTACTATGATTCAGTAAGTGTAAGAATAAAACAATGAAGGGCAGAGGACAGGGTGAAGACTGACACCAACAAGAGCATCTGTGTCTTATTTTTATAGAGAAACACTATGTGCATTTTTATATGAAAGACTGGAAAATACGCCATAGACTGGCACAGGATGAATGCACATATATGTGAACGTTAAACAGTAATCAGCATCTTTAATTATTGATGTGCTTTTTTTTCAAAAGCACAAGTTAAACTCTATGAAGATATACTGTTTTAAACATCAAGGTAGAAATGCGTAGGCTAGCGAACTTCTAAGAAGCCAGAAGCCAACAGTGAAGACACTGTATATACATGGAATATTCGGATCTGTCTGCACTTATGGCGATTTGTGTAGGCCCACAGAAATCTGAAGAAGCATTACAGAAATTCTCAATAAAGAATGAGAAGCATGAGGCAACCACACCTGGAGGGGGGAGGGGAGGCTGCATGGGAATCAGCTTCCTGATTGCAGGTGACTGATGGAGAGTTAACCAATGTGATTAATTTTATATTGTTGTGCCAAGGCTATTACGAAAGGTCCCATTGACTTATTATTACAGTAGTGCTTAATTTGTAGGTACAATTACAGAAAATATTAAGTTATTTTTTTAGTTGTTTTTCTTTCTGTTTTCACTCTTACCTTTTTTTTGGGGGGGGGGAGTATGGAATTTAACACCTTGGAATGAAATGTGTAGACTTATTACAGCACTTGCACTCATGTTACATGACTTTACTGGCCAAAGTGAAGGTCCTTTGATTTTAACAAAGGCAAACTGATATAGTCCACTTCTGCCACAAAAATAAAGACTGCAGGGCCAGCAGGAGAACTCATGTGGAATGACCCTAACTAGCCAGCAAGCCTGAAACCTGAGTTCAATTCTGGTAACCCACATGGTGCAAGAAGAGAAAAAATTCCTTAAGGTAGTCTTCTACCCTCTATGAATGAATGTATATCCAAAATATATACATACAAAATAAAAAAGAGTCCACAAGAATAATATGTTTTAAATGAAGAATAAAAAAAATTAAAAGGAAGAGAACCCAAAGTGTGTTTTGTTTTTTAAAAAAAGTCAAAATGTCAGAGATTTTCATTGTTATTTGCTCCCAGCTTCCCTCCATTAAAGACATACATCCACATGGACACACAGATATGAACACAGGTACCTACACTCCTGTACACAAACATGGATGAAGGTATGGCATGAACACATGTCTCTACTATGGTGAGGTAAGTGGAGAGCTTTCCATGTCCATTTCTTGGTAGTTACTCTTCTAGTGAGATCAGCATACTATGAGAACCTCTTATGACAAAACCAAGGGTCTCATTGTGGAACAAAAATATAAAATACTAAACCCGGCCACAGAAACATCAGGGTAGACTTTGGTGAATTATCACCACATTTTATTGACATGTGCCATTATTCCCTTATATTTAGAAAGGTCTGATTTGTCAGAAATTCCAGTTTGCTACACACTGTGGTTGGTTGAAAAAGGCATTCAACATTTTCTATTTAAGGCTAAGGTAAACAATCTCCTCTACTCAATCTAGAGACTCTACAAGTCACAGGATGTAGATTTCAACATATTTGGTTTGGGTTTTACTTTCAGCTATTGGAGTCTTCTGAAAAGGGTTTGGACTCCCAATGACCTGAGATAGGTCTTTCTCCAAGAGATCCACATATTCGCCATTCAAAACTGTGAAACACTCCTAGAAGGCCTCAAGGCTACTTCTAGTCCATGGCATCAAGGAAGTTAGACTGGCACATACGCACGTCCATACCAAACAAGAACGGCACAGAACCAATATCATTGTAAAGTCCATGCAGACATGGAGGACTTCAGTAGGGAGAACAAGACCAGGCTGCAAAAACCCAGAGACAGCTGACCTGAACATGGAGGAGCTAATTTGCCCCCAGACTGATAGCTGGGAATCCAGCATGGGACCAACTCAGATCCCCTGAACATGAGTCTCAGCTAGAAGGCCTGGGCAGTCTAAGGGACCTCAGACAGGTGCACGAAAGGACTTTGGGAGCACATTCCCCATGGAGGGATGCTCCCTTAGCCTAGAGGCAGGAGGGAGGGCCTAGTGCCTACTCCAAATGACTTGACAGATTTTGTTGACCCCTCCTGGAAGGCATCACCCTCCCCGTGGAGTGGGGGGTATGTATGGGATGGGAGGGTGGCTGCAGGGGGAATGGGAGGGAGAGGGAACTGAGATTGGTATGTAAAATAAGAAAAATAAATAATAAAAAAGAATATCATTCAGCAAATTGTTAAGATACGATTATAAAACAACAGAATGGAGCATCATAGGAAGATCAGGTCATTCCCAGTCAAGGGAAATGCTGAGCCTCCTCTGTGTAGCTCAAGAGATGGCATGGTTTTCAGGTGAATGACTACATCTTAAGCTCTGGAGAGATCTCTACCTCATGTGTAAGGGTCTCACTTGTCTCCATAAATACCAGTGGCACTGCTTCAGCAGAGTGCCGCTGAGACTATACCTTAAATCTGTACAGTAGACACCTTCTAAGTAGTGCAGCTAGTTTTGGGGAAAAAAAAAACCTATTTAAGCCTCTTGAATGTCAGGGCAATATTAATTACAGGTCTTTATGCTTTATGATATGGGAGTCTGTGTTCTCAGATATGGCAACCCAATTCTATACAAACTACACAAGAAGGCTACTTTGCAATTGCAGTGTGACTATTTATAGTAACAGTAATGCCCCAAATCGAGAGTGATGAGATTTTTCCTCCCTGTAAAGCTCAGAGTGTTTCATGGATATTTACCAATTAACTTAAGGGCATGTTCTCACTTACTATAATCATCTTAAGTGAGAAACTCAATGCCAGTGTACCACATAGCTTCAAAACTGGCCCCGCGGAGCAGACAGACCTGAGCCCCTACAGCAGCCCCGCGGAGCAGACAGACCTGAGCCCATACAGCACTGTCCCATCTGGGTGGAGGCGGATCATTCGGTTTTTCACTGTCACTCCATGCACAAATGACTTTTTGTCATTTAAGAAATATGTGTCGGGCACCCAGAGCTGGTCAGCCACTCGATTGTCAAGCGTGAGGTTGAGAGGTATCCCAGAATAGGCGAGCCTTTTATCTCTCCAATATTGTTGGAAATACATAGTTAAGGTATAATCCTGGGAGGAAGAGAAAGAAAAGAAAGAAAATTAGTCTGCGCTCAACACAGGTGTAACTCCTGCATGCAATGACAAATCCAGGCTGAATCCCATGTCCTGTAATGGGCAAAAACCGTGGACACCTCCCTGGGAATGCAAGTACTGAGTTTAATAAGCACAATATAAGGAGAGATGTGTGACATACATAGGAAATTTTTGCTTTACTTAGTGAAGGGCACTAGACAGGTTGTATTTTGAGGCAACCCTACAGAAACAAAAGATAAGCCATTATTGCAAAATCAGATGGCTGACAGGGAACTTAGTTGGCTCCCTCAGTACACATTTCCCCACAGCGTTTTAACCAAACAGCATGGAAGAACTCTATCTATAAAACTATCTCTTCTGCCCTTGCAAAGGCTATAAATATACAGGCCTCCCACAAACATCCACTGGAGATAAAGTGGCCTGTGGGAGGGCTCTGTGCCCTGACTTTCACGTGTTCTTTCCCTCTCAGCTCTCCATTACTATAATGCATTAACTAGGTCATAAACTCACCTGCAGATAACATGATTACATGGGGAGCACAGATGCCTGAGCCACAATGGGACATTCGAGGAAACCACCACAGTATCTCGGGCAACCAACAAAATCAGCAAATGCCCGCTCAGGGAACTATAAAGTACTTTTTGTTTTTGTTGTGGTTATTGGCAAAACAGTTAATTCAGTTGGGGGGGGCGTGAAGGCACCCCAAATGCCCAACAGAAAAAGTAGGATATGTGAATTGCATAAAGGCGCATAGATGTAGACATCAGAAAATGTAGTGATAGTCATGGGACATTCTGGACCCTGTTGTTGAAGGAATGAGCTGGAAACTTGAAGGCGTGATGATAGGTTCCACAGCAGCAAAGTCCAAATTCCAGTTGGTCAGGTCTGTAACCATGCTCATTTTGTAGGCAGTAAAAGGTGAGGGGCAAGCCAGCTTAAGAACACAGGCTAATATGAGCCACTACCTTACCTGGCAATTCCCCGTGCTGTATAGTTTGTCTCATTTAAACTCATAAGTGATACTTAAAAGTGCTTAAAAATGGCAAAACACGGATATCAACCTGTCCTCTCCAGATGTTCCCAGCAAGAGCTTTCAAGAAAGCTCATGTGTACTGACCAACTCTAGACAAAATATAAATTATGGAATGAAAATACAGCTCAGGGTCAGAATGCATGCCTAGAATGAATGTGTGATGTGTGAGGCTCCTGCATAACCAATGGCCTTAAAAAAAAAAAAAAAGAGGAAAGAAGGCAAAACCATGTATGCTAGAGTCTTAGGTTTTTATCTGAATTTTAATGAAGAGGGAGGACCTGAGAAGTAGGAATTTCTTAAAAGAACACCCAGGTGGCTGAGGAGCAGAGGCTGGAATGAGAGCATTATAAAGTGAATACCAACATATTTTCATGTGACAGGGTGACAACCAAGTACTTTAAACCAAGTGTCTTAGTGTTTGTATGCTTTGACATCTGGGGTCCTACTGACCCTCCAGGATCACCCAGTTATTACACAGAGTGGACATCTTCCAGGGCTAGCAGGAGGATTAGCACACCTTTTATATCCAAGCCAATGGATCCAGAGTCCAACCCTAGCACTTCCTTTATGATGCTTGTACACAGCAGCTAACAATTCACAATAGCTTAGTGGCCTACATCTAGGCGCTAAATGACTGGGAAGAGCCTCTATAGTTAAGAGCCTTGCAACTACCTAAGTTAAACAATTCTGGGATGTTTACCATTACCTTTTCTCTTAATGGGAACAACATTAAAGGCCTCTACTTAGAGGGGACCTTCTCTTTCTGCCTCTCGACTCATACTGGGATGTTCTTATGTGGGCCCCATGGTGTGGTGTGTCCCTCCTTTTATTACTCTTTCCCTGACAGCCATCTCCTAATACGTTGGATTTCCCACGCCTGAGCATCTTGTGATGGGAAACATTGCCAACTTGACAGGATCTACATCACCTAGGAAACAAAGCTCTGGGTATTATGTAAGGGAGTTTCTAGATTGGATTGGCTGAAGTGGAACAACCTGCTCTAAATATGGCTAGCACACTCTGGATGAATAGGTGAGCTCCGGGGTCTATAAGAGATCTTGTCTCAAAGAATAAAGTGGAGGAGAAAAATAGAGGGAGACATCTGATGCTGCCCTCTGGCCCCTAGCACATGTATGCACCTGCATACACACATGTATACACACATATATCTATCACATATGCATATACTATATATATGTATATGTATATATCGTACACACACACATATATATATATATATATGTATATATATATAATTTAGGAAATTGCCAAGCAGGTCTTCAAGGAGAACTCTGAAAGTCATGGGTATTGCTGTAAAGGAGAAGTGTCAGAGAGCAATAATAGCCATACAAAGAAGGCAGAGTGGCCCCCAGGTGAAGTCTGGGATGGTGCAGCTCAGAGAACATCACCCAAAGTGTGGGTCTTTGTGGTGGAAGGACTTTGAATGACAAGGCATTGAGAGGTCTTGAAGCCAGTCTCAGCACCAAAGCCTTCCTGACCTACTCTTGCCACCCCCAAATTTTCCCTCTGCAGTGAGTCTTAAACACTAGGGTTCCTCTTGGCTAAGGTGGTTCATAGGAACAAGAACACTTTCCTCCCAGAGTCAGCCCAACTAGAGTGTTTTTTCTAACCCTTTGCTCCCTTGGTACTTTTCCGTCTGACCATAAAGAGAGTAGTAGGTCACTGTGCTGGTTGGGTTTTGTCAACTTGAAGCAAGACTAGACATATCTGGGAAGAGGGGCCTTTCAATGAGAAAATACCTCTGTATGATTGGCCTACAGGTGAGTCTGTAGGCCACTTTCTTGATTGGTGATTAATGTGGGAAGGCCCATCCTGCTGTGGGTGATGCGGTCCCTGGACATGTGGTCCTGGGGGTATAAGAAAGCAGGCTGAGAAAGCCATGGGAAACAAGCCAGAAAGCAGCATTCCTCAGCTTCCCTTCCTACTTCTAGGTTCCTGCTTTGAATTCCTGCCTGGAATTCCTTCCATGAAATTCTAGGCTGAAATAAATCTTTTCCCCTCCAAGTTGCTTTGATTATGGTGTCCGGTCACTAGAATAGAAAGCCTAACTAAGGCAGTTGTAGACTCTCATTCCAGAGGGCTTGTGCCCCACTAGGGAGGGAGAAGTCCTACCACAGGGAAGACAACATGAATCAGAATAGATTGGGCTTGTGAGGCATTTTCTTTTGGAGTTATTCCATTACAGCATACCCTTCTTGTCCAATCATGCATCTATATAGCTGTTCCTTACTTTTTTTTTTTTTTTTAACACTTGTATTGCTCATTGAATCTTGTCTTGAATTCTTAATTCTGAGGGCTTCTGTGCCACCTAAAGCTATGATTAAATAATTTTTAGAAGTTAATAAATAAATATGGATAGCATCTTTCCATGAGTATGTGTGATTCTAAGCCAAATAAAAATAAAAAAAAATTGAGATGAGCAGAGTTATTTAAATACTCTTGCCACCAAGCTATGGCTGTCATTAGGTACTAGGTGCTCAAATTGTGAACCAAAATGAACCTTTTCTTCCTCAAGAGGATTTTATCGGGTATTTTGATATGAGAAAAAAAATACTTTTTCATCATAGAAAAATAGTATGTTTTTGTTAAGTGGCCCACACTCTAGTGGTCATACTCACCTTCATTAGTCTACAGAAAGGACAAATTGAACTCATGGGGTTATTTTTAAAAAGGCACAGATTTGCAAAGACACTGGAGGAGATAAGAATATGAACAAATCAAAATACATTGTTTGCAGGTATGAAATGCTCAGCAAACTAATACAAATATTATGTTTCAACACAAAAAAGAAGTTGGGCTCTTATGAACCTGATCAGGTGGTTTGTAAATCTTTGGATCTGGTCTGTGGGAAGAATGCGGGAACTTGGAACACTGAGCTAGAAAACCCTTAGAAAACTATAAACAGAAGTGAGTGACCCATTCTGATGGGGATTCTGAGAGAGTAGAGGATGAGCTCAAGAGGATTCACAGGGGAATACAGACTCTACTAAGAACTGGGCCAGGGGCCATTTAGGTTATACTCTGGCAAAGAATATGAATGTTCTCAGCCATTGTGTCAAGCTCGAGTGAAGTTGAATACAAAGTAATGGATCAATGGCTTGGTGGACTCAGCATTCAGGCTGAGTCATCCACTGCTCACTATTCTTTTTCAGGTGCGCAATGAACGATAGCAACTAGTGAAACAAAATGATAAGAAAGGTGTGCCCTCTGGCAGGGAGGACTTTGAAGTTTCAGACAAGAAGAACGAGGAGAAAACAGTTGCTGTTAAGGAGATGAGCCCCACCATGGACCAGCTAGCTGCCTTCTCTGCACTGGGACAGCTGGAAAGGTACTCTTGAGGACAGAACTCCACACATTGAAGAATATCTCATGTGAAAGTCAAAATTCATCAAAAGGGGAGAGTCTAAACTGAGAAAGCTCCTGAAGGCTTCCCTGTTCAAAAATAGCCACCTATGGAAGTGTGCCCCTGTGTCAGTATAAAGGGCCAAAAGAGGCAAATAAACTGTGGGCCAAGCAGGCCAGGTTACATCTCAAGACAAGACCAGCCCTGGCAGGTAGTCCATGTGGTATTATTTATACATACACAAGAAATGGAAGAATGAAAGCCAGACACGGCGGTGCTCATCTAATTCTAGCACTTGAGATGCAGAGGCAGGTAGACATTTGAGAATTTGGGGCTAGTCTGGTTTCTATGGGGGGGGGTTCATGGTCAGTGAAGCAGCAGGACTACATAATGAGACCCTACCTAAAACCCAAAACAAAACAAAAGCAGGGATGGAGGCTTAAACCAAGTTTCTAGAAGACTATCGAAGTCAAATCCATAGAAGCAGGGCGTCGGGGTCAATTGCTTGAGCTGTAAAGGAAAAGCACATGTTGTTTCAGTGGAAAGTATAGGGTGGGATGTTGGCTGAGGGTTGTTGGA